ATACTGGACTTTTGTTGATGTAGGATATATTTTTGAGATGATTTCATGAGGGGGGAGACAGGATAATATATACAGTAGAACCTCCATTGCTGACCACCTCTCTACATTGATCATTTCCTTAAGTTGACTTAATTTTTAAAGACTAGTCATACACCTGGAACAGCAAATAGTCCAATTTAACAGAATCCTTAAGGTTTATAAAGTGAGGGATGAGAGAAAAGTGAAATGGAGCTTGGTCATGGAAGAACTAAAAGTCATGCTGTAGAGTTTGGTAGTGAAGTTATTTATGCTTTTTGATCTGAGTAGTTATACCATCACAGAAGCTGGGCTTTGGAAGGTGAGATCTGTGGATGATGGATAGAAGCAGGGGGAAGAATTCTTTTGTCTTGAGTATCCTCTATAGCTACACTGTTTAGAAAACACCAGAGGGAGACCATTCCTGTTGTGTGGATATATTGCTGTTGGCAGGGAAGGGGCTGTCCCCTGTGCTAACTTAAACGGAGCTTTTTTTTGTTTTTTTTGAGACAGAGTCTCACTATGTTGCCCTCAATAGAATACTGTGGCCTCGCAGCTCACAGCAACCTGAAACTCTTGGGTGAGTCTCTTGCCTCAGCCTCCCAAGTAGCTAGGACTACAGGTGCCTGCCATAACGCCCGACTATTTTTGTTGCAGTTGTCATTGTTGTGTTAGCTGGCCCAGGCTGGGTTTAATGCCGCCACCCTTGGTGTATATGGCTGGCTCCATAACCACTGTGCTACGAGTGCTGGGCCTAAGCAGAGCTTTTAACATCTCCTTTCCTTCCAGTTACAGAGGACTCAGGGATTACTTCCTTTTTATTGCATTTCACTGCTTTCTAGATACTTAAAGGAAGAAACAGCCGCAAATTCATAGAAATTTGGTGAGACTATATTTGAAGTTAGTCTTTTATTTTCAGGTGAATTACTGTCTTTATAAAGAAGGCTAATTTTGCTGGCTGCTATAATATTCAGTAGTCAGCAAATGTTGAAAGCACTGCAGAATGAAAAATAGGCAAGGATTAATAATATTAACGAAGTCAATTCTGTTATCTAAGCATTTTCTTTTTTTTCTTTTTTTTTTTTTTGAGACAGAGCCTCAAGCTGTCCCCCTGGGTAGAGTGCTGTGGCATTACAGCTCACAGCAACCTCCAACTCCTGGGCTCAAGCGAGTCTCTTGCCTCCACCTCCCAAGTAACTGGGACCACAGGCGCCTGCCACAATGCCCGGCTATTTTTTAGTTGCAGCCATCATTGTTGTTTGGCAGGTCCAGGCTGGGGATTCGAACCCGCCACCTTAGGTGTACGTGGCTGGCGCCTTAGCCGGTTGAGCTATAGGCGCCGAGCCTTATCTAAGCATTTTCCTGGACCAATATCTTAAAGTCAAAAGCTACTTCTACTTTAATATGTTCTGTTAATTTTTGAACTTTAGAGAATTTAGCAGCTCTTAATTATTAGCATGAGATATGCAAGTAATGGGTCTGTAATTTTGTAAAAACATAATATGGTTAGTTATAGTGTTGTCAAATAGAGATTAACTATTTGAAATTATTATAGAATAAAAGTATATATTTAAATAAGTGAATACTTTGGTGTTAAACTAAGGTGTAGTGCATGGAGGAAAAAGCTACTGTAACCACACTGTTGGTGAAATTTTCCAGCATACACCCCCCTTTACTAAAAATGGTTTGCTTATGCTTTTTTCTTTCTTTTTTTTTTTTCCCAGACAGAGTCTCACTCTGTTGTCCTGGGTAGAGTGCTATGGTATTTATTTATTTTTGCAGTTTTTGGCTAGGGCTGGGTTTGAACCTTCTACCTTCGGCATATGGGACCAGCGCCCTACTCTTTGGAGCCACAGGTGCCACCCTGAGCTGTGGTATTATAGCTCACAGCAACCTCATACTCTTGGGCTAAGGTGATCCTCTTAGGTGCTCTCTCTCCCTTTTTTTTCTGAGACAGAGTCTTATTTTGATGCCCTTGGTAGAATGCCGTGGTGTCATAGCTCACAGCAACCTCAGACTCTTAGGCTCAAGTGATCCTCTTGCCTCAGCCTCCCAAGTAGCTGGGATTTGCCACAATGCTGGGCTATTTTTAAAGATGAGGTCTTTAACTTGTCAGCTCTAGCAATCTACGCACCTTGTCCTCCCAGTGTGCTAGGATTATAGGTGTTAGCTACTGTGCCCAACCTACAGTTTTCCTGTTTTTAGTAGAGACGGGGTCTCACTCTTACTTAGGCTGGTCTCAAACTCTTGAACTCAACCAGTTTTACCCATTTTGGCCTCACAGAGTGCTAGGGTTACAGGCTTGAGCCACCTGCACCCAACCGGGTTTGCTTATTTATTTTTTTTTCCATACAGACAGAGTCTCACTCTGTGGCCCTCAGTAGAGTGCTGTGAAATCACAGCTCACAGCAGCCTCCAAGTCCTGGCCTTAGGCAATTCTCTTGCCTCAGCCTCCCAAGTAGCTGGGACTACAGGAGCCCACCACAATACCTGGCTATCTTTTTGTTGTTGTTGCAGTTTGGCCGGGGCTGGGTTTGAACCCGCCTCTCTCTGTATATGAGGCCGGTGCCATACTCACTGAGCCATAGGTGCCGCCCTAGTTTGAGATACTTCTTACTTCTTGGTGAAATTGTTTCAACTAATTTATTCTTTTTTTTTTTTTGAGACAGACCTCAAGCTGTCCCCCTGGGTAGAGTGCTGTGGCATTACAGCTCACAGCAACCTCCAACTCCTGGGCTCAAGCGAGTCTCTTGCCTCTGCCTTCCAAGTAGCTGGGACCACAGGCGCCCGCCACAACACCTGGCTATTTTTTGGTTGCAGCCGTCGTTGTTGTTTGGCGGGTCCGGGCTGGGAATTTGAACCCGCCACCTTAGGTGTACGTGGCTGGCGCCTTAGCCGGTTGAGCTATAGGCGCCGAGCCCAACTAATTTATTCTAATGACTTCATTTTCTTTCTTCCTTTTTTTTTTTTTGGAGACGGAGTCTTAAGCTGTTGCCCTGGGTAGAGTGCTGTGGTATCACAGCTCACAGCAACCTCTAATCCCTGGGCTTAAGCAATTTTCTTGTCTCAGCCTCCCAAGTAGCTGGGACCTCAGGTGTCTGCCACAATACCTGGCTATTTTTTGTTGTTGTTGTAGTTGTCATTGTTGTTCTAGCCAGCCCAGGCTGGGTTTGAACCTGCCAGCCTTGGTGTATGTGGTTGGCGCCCCACCCACTGAGCTATGGGTGCTGACAACTTTACTTTCTTTTATCTCTCTCTCTCTCTCTCTTTTTTTTTTTTTTTTTTTTTTGAGACAGAGTCTCACTATGTCACCCTGGGTAGAGTGCGGTGGTATCATAGCTCACAGCAACCTCAAACTGTTGGACTTAAGCGATTCTCTTGCCTTAGCCTCCCAAGTAGCTGGGACTACAGACACCCACAACACCCAGCTATTTTTTTGTTGTTGTAGTTGTCATTGTTGTTTAACAGGCCCGGGCCAGGTTCTCACCTGCCAGCCCTGGTTTATGTGGCTGGCACCCTAACCATTGAGCTATGGGCGCCGAGCCAATATCTCTCTTTTTTTGTGTTCCTGTTTTTTCCCAGAGGTGCAGTCTTGCTATGTTGCCCAGGCTGTATTGCCTTGAACTCCTGGGCTCAAACCATTCCTCCTGCCTCAGCCTCCCATGTATCTTATTTTCCTATTTTTGTCTCCTCCTTCCTTTTCCTGCTTACCCAGTTTGTGTTTCTTTCCCCCTAATTTCAGTCTAGTTCCCTTTTTTTAGCCAAGCCTTATTTTCTGAACTTAGATATAATACTTCAGATAGTCTAAAATAATAGATGATATAAAACTGATTTTTTCTGACTCCAGAGTACATTAGGCCAATACTTTGCTATTTGGTTTTCCTGAATACCTTTTGCTTATGCAAATATGATTAATTTATATTTCTTTTATTTTTCTTTTTTTGAGACAGAATGTCATTCTGTTACCCTGGGTAAAGTTTCATGATGTCATAGCTCACACCAACCTTAAACTCTTGGGCTTCAGTGATCCTCTTACCTCAGTCTCCTGAGTAGCTGGGATTATAGGCACCTGCCACAATGCACAGCTAGGTTTTCTGTTTTTAGTGGTGATGGGTTCTCAGCCTGGTCTCAAACTCCAGAGCTCGAGCAATCCACCTGCTTTGGCCTCCCAGAGTGCTAGGATTATAGGTGCTAGGATCACTGTGCCTGGCTTCTTAGTACAGTTTTGTAGTTGGAGTAAATTACTTATAGGCTGTGAGAAGATAATCTTGGTTTTGCACTATTTGGCTAAGAATTCATGGAGGATGAACTACCTCTCACTGGTAAGAGTTGACTGTCAGTCAGTGGTTTCCAACTTGTTTCTCCAGCAAAACAATAAGAGTATTCCCCTGGTAACTTGTTAGAGACACACTCTCAGCCCACTCTAGACCTCCTGAATAAACAACTGGGCCTAGGACCCAGCAGTTTGTTTAACAAGTCTATGAGGTGATTGTGATACATGGTAAAGTTAACATTATAGTGGGGTATTATAATAAAAAAGATTCCTTTCTTGATTTCTAGTGTATGTTGTTTGGGACAGTAATTGACATAGGACTTTTTTGTTTAATTGACAGAGAAAATACTCTTTGTATTCTCAGGTGCACATTTTGTACCCTGCATGAAAGTAGTGGATATAGGCGGCGCCTGTGGCGCATTGAGTAGGGCGCCGGCCCCATATACCAAGGGTGGCGGGTTTGAACCTGGCCTTGGCCAAACTGCCACAAAAAAATGGCCGGGTGTTGTGGCGGGCGCCCGTAGTCCCAGCTATTGGGGAGGCTGAGGCAAGAGAATTGTCTAAGCCCAGGAGTTGGAGGTTGCTATGAGTTGTGACGCCATGGAACTCTACTGAGGGTGACAAAATGAGACTCTGTCTCAAAAAATAAAAAAGAAAGAAAGTAGTGGATACTCCTAAGGAAGTTTTATCTTGAAATTTACTTTTCTTTCAGGAGGCAAAACCTTCAACCGAAGACTTGGGGGATAAGAAGGAAGGAGAATACATTAAACTCAAAGTCATTGGACAGGTGAGTTTCATTGTTTTTCTCCTTGGACTCTTCTCCAATGTATGAATAATCTCTTAAATACAGGAAAAATTACTTAAGGCAAATTATTTTAAAATTACATCTTGCTATAAAAATTGGCTGTAATCACTAGATCTAAGTTACCCTGGTTCTACATGAGAAAAGGAGGAAAATTATAAACATAACAAAACCATAATACTCTGGAGCTAGAGTCTGAGTTTGGATCAGTTTCTGTACTTACTGCATACATAGTATTGGATGAATTACTTCATCTCTGTTTTGCCTAATCAATAAAACAGGGAAAATAATATGAAAAAAATTACATTTTTGTTATTATACGTGTATATGCATCTGTTGGAAGTAGAAGAGGTTGTTCCTGTTTTCTTTTTTTTTGAGATAGAGTTTCACTCTGTCACTCAGGCTACACTATCATGGTGTCAGCCTAGCTTGCAGCAACCTCAGGGCACAAGAGATCCTGTTGCCTCAGCCTCCTGAATAGCTGGGACTACAGGTGGCCACCACAATGCCTGGCTCATTATTTTACTGTTAGTAGAGATGGGGTTTCACTCTTGGTCAGGCTGGTCTCAAACTCCTGAGCTCAAGGGATCCTCCCACCTCGTTCTGGCACAGTGCTAAGATTATAGGCATGAATCACCAAAGACAGGTGGGGAACTAGCAGTAGAGGTTGTTCCAGGGAAAGAAGCTGATACACTGTTTTCTTTCCTTTTTTTTTTTTCTTTCTTGAGACAGAGCCTCACTCTGTTACCCTGAGTAGAGTGCCTTGCTGTCATAGCTCACAGCAGCCTCATACTCTTGGGCTCAAGAGATCCTCTTGCCTCAGCCTCCCAAGTGGCTGGGACTATATAAGCCTGCCACCATGCCCAGCTTATTTTTCTATTTCTAGTAGATATGGGGTCTTGGTCTTGCTTACGCTGGTCTGGAACTCCAGAGCTCTGGGTTAGTTCCGCTGCAAAGGAGGGTCCATTATTATTCATTTTCCTACTGGGGGTTCACTCAAAGAAGTATGGGTGACCACAGGATACTGTGTAGCATACCCAAGTGTTGATGGTGGGAAGTAAGACTTTCTGAAATGGACACAACCGTGGAGTAGCCAAATATGGTGATCTCTTGAGGAGGAGCTGCTGAGTAGCCTCTACAGCTGTGCTAGGCAGTTTTATACATGTGATAAGCCAAACAAGTTAAAACGTGCATGGGTGAATCAGAAAGGACACTGTTGATTGTGTTTCTTCAAAGTGAAATAATGGACCATAACACAGTCTGTCTCAAAACTTTCGTAGTGACCTTTGTATTACCTTAATTGCTCCAAATAGAACCTTTTCCTTGGTTAGCATGGTTCTCGGGCAAATACAGTGGAAACTAGTAATAGATAAAGCGAGGGCCAGTCTTTTTTTTTTTTTTTTTTTT